GCGGCCCCGGCCAAAGAGCCCTCCCGATTTTCCCGGACATGCCCGGCTTTTGGGGATTTCCCCCCGGACGGGGATTTGAGCCCCCAAAAGCCGGACATGTCCGGGAAAATCCAGACGTATGGTAACCCTAGTATAGACCCTGGGATGGCTCTCTGTATAGAGGTGACCTTCACCAAAAGTCAATAATATAAAGCAAAAAACAAACAGGCCACCACTCCTAATATAGAAAGCATCACAAAATATCCAGTTAGTGGGGAATCCATATTGTTAATTCATGCATAAGGATGTACAAGCAAAAGACTAACTCTGGTGAATCTCTTAATACAGTCGTGACTAAAGATGGCGTCTATGTTCTGGATTTGGCTGCAAAGATTGACGCTACTGCTGATTACATCTGCAAAGTGAAATGGGGGGATGTGGAGTTCCCCCCGCCCTTTGGCAGAGAGGCTTATCCAGAGGCAAGTAAAGAATCCACTGTTACACAGTTAACGAGAAATCATTCTCCATATACATAGGTCAAAATGTCCACGACACAGATGGGGCTTTCCTTTCTTATGCAGCCCTGTAACCATAGTTCATGTTGCTGACAAAGCTGACCTGGTAAGTAATAGATGTGGACCATAGCTCATGGTAGTTCTTACATTGGTATTCACATAATGCCAGTAACAGTACTCTTCGCTGTAGCCATTTTTCATCATTACATGGATCTTCCTTGGGCTCTTCTTCTCTTCTCTCTCATTTAGAATTTTTACCTTCCTTATTAACTGGAGGATCAAATTTAACTGCATTGAATTAAATGGCAGGTATGCTACTGTGTGTGGTGGGGTTTTCGTGTATTTTAGTATTGTGCAAGTGTTGTCTGTGTTGGAAGGGCAGCCCCTGCCATGTTGGCTAACCATAGCTGTTTCTGTGCCATATCATGTTGATGGTGCTTCTAGAGTCAATGGTCACTCAGCATTTCTGTTTATAATCCACACACACACTCTCACGCACACACAGACTCTCTCACACTCTCAGGAGTTATAACTCGTGTAAAATCTCTGTCTGGGCTGAAGTCTGATGTGTTGATCCAAGAAGAGAATTTTCCTCTATCAAACTTTGAAATAAAATATTACATCTGAAACCAGTTGCTGGCCTGCAAGGCAAGAACAAGAAAAAATTGGGTAGGATTTTTAAAATACCTTAAGAATACAATTTTCATTGGAAGTCAACAGAACTTGTGCCCCGAAGTTACTTAGGCACTTCTGAAAATCCCACCCCATATATAGAGGCTTCCAGCAGCATCCGAGATTGCTGGGTGTGGTGCACACACTAATTATGCAAAAACTTCTTTCAGATGCTTGGTCTGGCACTTCTGGAAGACTTGTCTGTTGTTCAGACCATTCATTTTAATAATCCTAACGATGTTTAAATTGGGAAAGGTTTTTTGTATTATGGCCAAGAAATCCATTTAGATATTTCCCCTGCCTTGTAGCTTGCTGGGTGCCAACACTTAATTCAATTTGCTCTTTAATGGATTCGTTTAATTTCAGCCTGTCTGAATCATCCCCCTGCAAGTCACTCTGAAGGTTATTCCGTCTCTATGCTCATTGAGAATGTTAATGAACTGCCATTACAGTGCTTAGCGTGCCTGCCTGTTGTGATGGTAAAAGAACACAATGGTGAGCCAAATGATGGCTCTTCTCAGTGATTAGATCTCTGGCTGCAGCTTAGTTAGAAAGTTTAATAACCAAGGGTGTTTTGATAACACCCTTCCCCTACTTTACAGCATCAAAGGTCAGCAGAGAGATTTTTGAATACAGTGGAGTTCCACCTAAAGGACTGTTTGGGCAAACTTTCTTGCAATTGAGGCATGTGGGGACATGAAACCTGGGAGCTTTCAAAATGGAGCATGGGCAGCAACGTAAAATTCCCATCGTGAAGTGACAGAACAAATACAGACAGAAATTTTAAATCGCAGTGCAGCCCAGTCACATTATAACTGGCTCTGCATGACTCCCAAAGGCTCTTTACTTACACATGGCCGATCTTACCTCCTACTTGGTAAGGAGGAACATGCTGTCCAGTAACAAGATGACAGTGGAGATGGTTGGGGTTGACAGTTTTCACAGGCAGGAATTTTAATTTGTTTCACATTGGTCAGTGGTGAGATCTATTCCCCTCTGATGTTGTCCCTCCAAGGAAAGTGGGGTAAGCCCCATCTGCAGGGACATTTTAAAACTGGACTGGACAAAGCCCAGGAGAACAGCCCTACTCTGCCTCTGCGGGGATGGGGTTAGATGAGACTGAGAAGCTCTCTTCCACTTCTGATTTCTAGGCTTCTGGATAGAAATACAAATGGATGGGTGTTGTCAAAGCAGGTTACTAACTGTAGCCTGGTGTCCAACAACAAGAATTAAAAGGCACTAGGACATAGGTGGTGGGCCTGACTTTCCCAAGTTCTGAGCACCCACAATTTCAGTTGAAGTCAAGGTGAGCTGCAGGGCCTCAGCACCTCTGGAAATCAGGCCCAGTCTCCCTAGCCCACAAGGAGAGTGCAGTCACCTTCCAAAACGTTTGTGCTTGTTTGTCTGCAGGAAGCCTATATCGCTGATCTGGACGCAAAGAGCGGAGCCAGCTTGAAACTGACTCTTCTCAACCCCAAGGGGAGGATCTGGACCATGGTGGCTGGAGGAGGGGCATCTGTGGTCTACAGGTACCAAGCACATGTTTCTATAGGGGACAGAGGCCTCTAACCCCAGAGAGCTGCCAGTGGAAAATAATTGATGCAGCTTTTGGAAAAGGGAGTTTTCCTAGTGCAGCAGCTCCCAAGCCATGTGTGCTTGGGAGCAGGGGTGGTTAAAAAACCAAGAATTCTGTTTCATGAAAAATGTTGGTTTTTACAACCAAAGCCTGTCTCATTTTTTCACAAAAAAGTTTGAGAGAGACCGCAGAGTAGCCAATAGCCCTGTAGTTAGGGCACTCGTTTGGGATGTGGGAGACCCAGACTTAAGTGTCCAGTCTGCCTGAGTGAGATGAGGGAATTAAAGCTGGGTCTCCCACATCACAAGTGAGTGCCTAACCCCGTGCTATTGGCTATTCTGGGGCAGGTCTCTCTTCCTTCCATTTCAGCCTGGACCTGAGAAACCGTCCTGAAAAAAACTTAGTTGAAACCGATACATTTCATCGACACCGAAACTTTTTGTGGAATTAACATTTTCCAGTGGAAACAAGTTTTCTGAAAAACCCCTGACTAGCTGTATTTGGGTCCTGTTTAGAGCCAGGACTAGCTGCCATGAGGCACCCCCTTTCAGGGTGCAATATGTTTGTGTCCTTGTTACAGTACTGAATACAGTTTAATTCTGGGAGGTGGGTAAACCTATGAAGCGGGCTTTAAGCAGTGCTCTCAGGAGAGGAATCCAAACCCAACTTAAAGGACTCCTCCCGGGCACCTCCCTGCGGCCTTCTTCAAAACCTCTCTTCCCATCTCCAGCTTGAAGAATGCAGTCTTGGCTGAGGCAGTCTCTAACACGCTCCCAGACTCTGCTAGGGCTTTTCTGACCTCCGCCTGGTTGTGAAGTAGATTTTCTTTATGTTTTGGAAGGGAAGAAGCTAGTTGAATGTTATGTTTAAAGCAGTGACTCCCTCGTGGTGGTCATGGGTTTATTTTGTTTTGTCTTCTGTCCCCCAGCCTCATATCTCAAAGGCCTTCCCCTCACCTCTGGGAAATGTATTTGGGATTAATCATAGTAAGCTTCATGTGGAAAGCAACTTTGTTTTCAGGAAATACTCTGGCCACTCGAACTCCTTCTGACCACCACCTCTACCCCGCTTCCTCCACCTGAGTGCTTGTGAAGTTTTATGAGGGCTTGTGAAGTGCCTGTGAAGAATATTTAGCATTTCCAATTGAATTTTTGTGCCTTCCTTACAGTGACACCATTTGTGACCTGGGGGGTGTAAATGAACTGGCAAACTATGGGGAATACTCTGGAGCCCCTAGTGAGCAGCAGACCTACGACTATGCGAAGACCATTCTCTCCCTCATGACTCGGGAGAAGCACCCAGAGGGTAAGAGAGGGCATCTGGGATTTGGACTCTAGAGATTGCAGTCAGATCTGTTACAGGAACTCTTCCAGAGCAGTCTAAGGAGATCCGCTATCCAGCTGTAGCAGCAAAAACACTGAACAGATTTGAGCTGCTATCATGTTTGGATGTCTGAACAGCTTACTGAGCTGTGGCATAGCCTCCCAAAGCAAGCAGTAGAAGCTCCATTACGTGGACTGTTCAAAACATGAGACAATGTCTTATTGTGGCCTGTTAGGATGGATGATTGGCACCTAATGGGTCTCCTCCCATGAAAGTTAGAGATGACAAAAGCCAGTATCTTTGGAATGGTAAATAAGACAAGTGTGGACCATCCGGCTTTTATCAGAAGACTTTTTGCTTTGCTATTGCAGGCACAAATCCCACTTCTTATCAAACATCTCTGAGTCTGACTAGCCATTCTGTCCAGGGCTGTGGCTAGCATCCAGAACAGAGAGACCCTTCGTCTGTCTCTGCCGCCTCCTAAGCAGCTTAACACTTACGAGTGTGTCGTGCCAGTGTTCTAACAGCTGTTCGTTATTCTCCTCTTTTTCCCTAAGGCAAAATCCTGATAATTGGAGGCAGCATTGCTAACTTCACCAACGTGGCAGCCACCTTTAAGGTAGCCTATGATTCTGAAACACAAGGAAATGTATCCTGTTGGGTATCCTCAACACACAATCCATACTCCCAGCTGGTCTCCTTTTTGGCCGTCTCAGCAGAGAGGCTAAGGGCTGAGTGAATTTCCCTCTGCTCCACACACGCTATCTGGGCTGGGGTTGGAATATGTGTTGGGGAGGGAGGCTGCATGATGTGATTCTTGCATTGCTTATGCAGTGCTATTTCCAAGAGTGTTTCAGTCACTCGGCAGAGTGAAGGAAAGGCGGCACTGCCTCACAGAGGACTCAGGTGTGATGCCTGGTCTCTCGCTCCCTGGGCCGGCGGGGGTTCAGGATTAATGCTCTGCACCATAGCGCATTAGACCCTAGTTCAATCCCCAGTCTCATGCCCAGGCATAGACAGGATTGACAGGGCACTGCAGAAACAAGCCACTTGGGAAGGTGTTCAACAGTGCCCCCTTCTGGCCAGTTATGGAGAGTGTTTGATGGACAACCATGAACGTGATTTTCAAAGAGTATAAAGCAGGAGGAGGTGTTCTGAATTCCAAGAGGGATGTGGAAGGAGGGAGTGAGAGGACCTTTCTCCACTAACAGACACCCATATGTTCTGTTTTAGGGTATTGTGAGAGCCATTAAGGATTATCAGGGCCGTTTGCAAGAGCATGGCGTGAGGATCTTTGTACGGAGAGGAGGCCCTAACTACCAGGAAGGGTTGCGTGTCATGGGTGAAGTGGGTAAGGAAACTCAACCAACCACTTAAGCTTCATTTACTTTGGGTACGTCTTCACTACCCGCTGTATCGGTGGGTAGCAATCGATTTATCCGGGATCGATATATCGCATCTCATTAAGACGCAATATATTGATCCCCGAAAGCGCTCACCGTTGATTCCAGAACTCCACCAGAGCGAGCGGCGGTAGCGCAGTCGACGGGGGAGCCGCGGCCATCGATCCCGCGCCGTCTGGACCCCAGGTAATTCGATCCAAGATACTTCGACTTCAGCTACGCTATTTGCGTAGCTGAAGTTGCGTATCTTGGATCGATCCCCCCCCCCCCCAGTGTAGACCAGCTTTGTTGTCATTTTTCTTATTTCTGTTACTCTTTCTTCAAACCTTGACCTCATTGGAGAATTACTTGGGTCTTGTCCTCAAGCCTGATTGGGTTTTGTGTTTGCTTGTGTGCAGGAAAAACCACTGGGATCCCGATCCACGTCTTTGGGACAGAGACCCACATGACAGCCATTGTAGGCATGGCACTCGGCCAGCGACCTATCCCTAATCAGCCTCCTGCGGCAGCCCACACTGCCAACTTCCTCCTCAATGCCAGCGGTAGCTCTTCTGTGAGTTTTCCAGCCACGGGGATCTGCTTTGTTTTGCTCTGTGTGAAGAAATAGCTGTAAACCTTTTTTAGAAAATAGTGAGAAGAATAATGACAGCAGGGTTCTAATCCCCCA